ATCCACAAGTTCGCTTGACCCGTATTTTGTGTACCGATTAATTCCCCCAGGTCTGAGAGCATCTCTTGTTGTTCTGCAGCTGTGGCTAGTGAAACTCCAATCTTAGCCACTGAATTGGATCTTGTAAGATGCGCAGGAAATCCAAATAAATATTTTGCTTAACTGAGCTTTGCTTCAGCAGGTTAAGACTGGATTTTCACAAGGCACAGCCACAGAACAATGAAGAAAGAACTTGGACCTGGGTGGCTTAATCTGTATACAATATAATAAAAAATTCGGGTCAAGCAAAAGTGTAGGTGTTTCAGTATTTCCTGGGAACAGAAGCAGCTCTCATCAAAGCTCTGTTTCAGAGTTCCCACTCGCACGAGTGACAATCCTATGAATCTGCTTCATGCAGACTCCATTGTAGGCTCATTCCCTTCACATGATTGACAACTGGTTGGTAGTTATTTAGATTTTCTGAGTCCAAGGAAGATTTCTTGAGGAGTGGTCTTACCACTGCCTCCTTCAATCAGGCAGGGACCACCCCCCTCCTGCAAGGAGGCATTAATCACCTCCCTGGCCCGCCAGCCATCCCCTACCTGCTAGTTTTTATCAGCCAAGGGGGCAAGGGTCCAGAGCGCAAGTGATTGCCCTAACCAATCCAAGCACTTTGTCCACATCCTCAAGCCTTACTAACTGAAACCCATCCAACATAACAGGACTACACAGTGCTCTGGACACCTCCCAAGATTCATCTGCTCTAACAGTACAGTGGTACCTCAGGTTAAGTACTTAATTGGTTCCGGAAGTCTGTACTTAACCTGAAGCGTTCTTAACCTGAAGCGGACTTTCCCATTGAAAGTAATGGAAAGTGGATTGATCCGTTCCAGACGTTGAAAAAACACCCCCTAAAACAGCAATTTAACACGAATCGTACTGTTTCACGAGACCATTGGTCCATAAAATGAAGGCAATAATCAATGTACTGTACTATAAAATAAATAAGACAGTATTTTAGATGAAAAAAAATATTTATTTCCAAACTCACTGTTTGGAGGGGGCTCAGGGTCCTCTTCCACAATCACAATCGGCTTGGTTCCCTGTATTCGTGGAGGCCTCAGAGAGCTCCTGCAGCTGGAGCCTAGTCGCAGAGCCTCTGCAGGCACCATGGATGCCGGGGCTTGGCTCCCGACATCCACGGAACCCTGCAGGCACCGCAGATGCCAGGGCTAGACTCCCAGCATTCGCGGAGCCGCTCTAGGCACCGTGAATGTCGGGGCTTGGCTCCCGGCATTCATGGAGCCCTGCAGGCACCACGGATGTCAGGGCTTGGTTCCCAGCATTCGCGGAGCCGCTCTAGGCACCATGGATATCGGGGCTTGGCTCCCAGCATTCGCGGAGCTGCTCTAGGCACTGCAGATGTTGGGGCTTGGTTCCCGGCATTCGCGGAGCCGCTCTAGGCACCATGGATATCAGGGCTTGGCTCCCAGCATTCGCGGAGCCGCTCTAGGCACTGCAGATGTTGGGGCTTGGTTCCTGGCATTCGCGGAGGCCTCAGAGAGCTCCATAGGCCCCGCCGATGTCCGGGTTTGCCTCCAAGCAGCGGCGAGGCCTCCAAGAGCTTGGACAACTTACTTCCGGGTTACAATCGTTCGTAACCCAAAAAAAGCAAGTTGAAGCGTTCATAACCTGAGGTACCACTGTACAGTCATACCTCGTGTTGCGTTCCGCTCTTGTTACGGACTTTCAGCTTATGAACGCGGCAACCCCAGAAGTGTTTACTTCCCAGTTCACCGCCCGTGCATGCGCAGAAGTGATCTGCGCATTTCACGCACGTGCAGAAGCTCAGAAGAGGCACTCCTGCTGCAAACGGTACCACAAAACAGATTAAGTCCGCAACTAGAGGTACCACTGTAGAGTCAAGGTCCCAGTGGATGCAAGCAATTTTATCCCCCAGATATTTTGCAAACAAGTCACAGCGAGCCACCGTTGATTTTACCACCTACCTTGGGCCAGACTGTAAAAGGCCCCATACTACCCAAAAAAGCTCTGCCAGGCGGCATGATGAGGATGCAATGGAGCCTGGAGGCTCCAAATAGCAGGAGTGGGGAACTGACAGGGAATGAGGATATATCTGCTTGTGAGTCACAGATCGAAAAACAATAGTAGTCAGAGACTGGTAGATCAGAATCATTGACAGATTCAAGGGTAGAGACAACTTCTTCCAACAATTGATGGTTGCTGGCTGAGATCTAATATAGTCCCTCAGCCTGACTGCCCGCCCAGGTTCTGCCCTCTTACTGGAGAATGGAGATCATTAAAGAGATGGGCTTCTGAAATGAAGCCTGGCACCATGTTGTTTCTCTGTTGCCCCCTGCCTGCAGTGGAAAGACTTTGCACATGTGACCTTTTGGGGGAAGGGTGATCTGAAGGCTCAGATGCTGAAGTCTCTGGGGGCCTTGACTTCCAGACTTAAGTTAGAAGTCTCAGATTCCTGGTCCAGGTTCTGCTGGCACTAGTGACTTAGTTAGCCCCTCTCCCAATCAAGTCACTGTTCGTAGGCCTGGTTGTAACACAGACTCGATAGAGCTGACAGTCTTTTTAAAAGGCAATCATACATGAGAGACTAGTATGTTGACTGTCAGTCACTATGATGCATATTTATTATGGCTTTCAAAATATATCAGCAAAATCGCAACAGCACTTTGGAGATAGCAAGGAACTGAGAAGTAGCCCACACAGTTTCTGTTCCACTGGGAATACACTTGATTACTTGTTAAACCCCATAGTTAAAAGGATTAAAGAGAAAAATCATAAAATGTTAGCGACTGAGGCAGAGTGAGAGTTACTTAGTATTATCCCCTTCACACTAGGAGGGGAGCAAGGTTTTTTTAGTTCAAGGGTCACATGGTGGCCACATGGTGGTGGTGGGTGGGATGAGGGGCAAGTGGGTGGGAACAGATGTCACTACATTCAAGTCATGCAAGAAGTCAAGGAGTAGGTCCTTTGTGGTGTATGGCCTGAGGAGAATGCAGGGCCTGTAAAGAGCTTGGGGGGGGCACATTTGGTCCATGGTCCCTGATATAGACCATCTCCAGAACATGCTCTCCCTGCTTTGAAAAGTCAGCAAGAAAGATTCCACAGCTTCTGTTGCCCAAAGATTCTTCCTGATAGCAAGGAGAAAGAATTTACTTCCAATCCTAAGTTTACCTTGGGTCTGTGAACTTGACATGCACAACTTTTGAGGAGTTCCCATATATATCAGCTCTCCTGTGTAATAATGTCAGAGAATTTCAACAGAAATGGAAATGAGAACATGTTTAGTTCCACCCTAACTCACCTTTAGAAAAAATAATAATCAAAAGGTGGTTGTCAATATTCCTTCTAATTTATCGCTATGCAGTTCAAAGTTTGCAAAGATATACTGTACACTAATAGACAAAACTTTAAAACCGTGTTAAATGTCCAGGTGTTGGAAAGGCATGTAGTTTTAAGTTATATTTCATTTGGAATTCAGCTGACTGTCCTTGGCTTGTAAATGACTCACCATGACAATCGTGTTTGGGGTGCTGCTGAGTCAAGGCGGTCATAGGAGTCAGTTTTGCTTATCTTGTCAGCACAGCTCCCTATATAGAGTTTACCCATCCTTCAACGCAGTAGGAGCCTCTGCAGTAATCCTTTACATTTCCAGCCCATGGAGGAGAAGGAAAGTTAAGTGAGGGCAAGTAAGTTTGGGGAGGGATCCATCTTGTTTCTCCACTGTTAACCAACATCTTGGCGGTTTATGAAAAAGAAAGCTTCATTTTTTGGTCCCACAAATGATGCCCCCTTCCACACAATGCAGAGAAAAATGTACAATTACATAATGTAAATCCACAAGAGAGTTCAAGCTGAGCAAAATAAGATATTTTAACTATAGATGAGGTATTGCACTAAGCAGGGGTGTTTCTAGATGCTTAAAAGAATTTGGGCACAGACCCATGAGTGACATAAATTTGCACAAAACAGGCATATGCTAATTTGTATGTGTAGATACAACTTTAGGATGACTTTCAAAAAGGACAAATACAAACTTGGTGTTTGTTGTTGGGGGTTTACTATGAACTGTGGTATGGAAATAGAATTTCCTGGGTCCAGAATGTCTTAGGGTGATTTTTCAAAAAAGCTCAACAACTATTTGTGTCTGGATTCTTACTGTTAAGTTGTGGGCGAACATATCAGACGACACAGCGATTCTTCCAAAGCAGCTCTTTATTTGTAAGCTGGGACAGAACTGAACTGAGGAGCTCAGTCAGCCTGCTTATATAGAGCTCCACTAGAATGCAACAGTAACCATTTTCTGTAACTAGCCAATCACTGAACGTCACTTTCGATCCTTCATTTGCATACAAACTATCCAATCACTGAACGTCACTTTCGATCCTTCATTTGCATAACTATCTACAGTATCCCCCTGCTGGCCCAGGGTGAGAACTTCAGTACATAACACTTACTTCTTGAAATATGGCCACCCTAAGCTATTGCATATACTTACAAGCCCTTTGTCACCAGTCAATACCATCCACACATTATACCCAGCAACCAAAGAACACAATCTGTACAACAATTAGAAAAGAAGAAACTCTCCTGTGTGCAAAACAGAAAACTCAAGCAAGTTAGTCAAGACACACATGATATGCATTATCAAGAAAATAAGCATGTAGAATTGTCAGCAAACATGTCCATTTTAGGGATCAGAAGCTTGTGAGATGCACAAAAATTTCGTTGCTTGGTTAAAAAATAAACACCAAAAAAAACCTGAAAGATTGTATTTCTCAATTCCAGATTGTGGAGGCAAACAAATGATTTTATATTTCTGTCCCACTCAAATTTCCAAGAGACATTTTACTTATTGGGTTTTGGTACAGTAGAAAAGACTCGGGCTACCCCCTAAAACAATGCCATGGGCACTGAAACTATATAGGACGAGAATTCAGGATGGAAGAGAAGAAACTGAAACTTGTTTTTCCTATAGGCAGTGTCAGGGAACTGCCATCGGAAGGAAGGGAGGTGAAAGGGCTCACACAGGTTGGGAGAGACTCAGCAGCTGAAGAGGGAACCAGTAGGGGGAGAGGAGCTGAGCTGAGGGAAAGTGAGCTGGAGGGATGGCTCAGAGACACTTCCAGCGAAAACAGTGGGGAGGTTTCAGGACCTCCTGTAGGGACACCCACTCCTCGCCGGAAACTGACACGCAGAGAGTCCAGAAGACGTGTTTCCGTTAAGGAGCTTTTATGTTGGAAGCGATTCCGAAAGCAACCACTGTCGGAATCTGCTAGTGACTAGAGGAGCCATGTCTGAGGGGCTCCGTCACAGACAGAGGTTTGTGGACTTGAACAAACTCTGAGGGGATACGATTTTACGCACAAGCAGCTCATCATCCCATCACAGCATTCCGACAGTCTTTGAAAGCAGCTTGTGCAGGAGAAGGCATCATGAGCAACCCAGCCGGAACCGGAGAAGCAGGAGCTGGAGCGGGTCCAAGCCTGGAAGAAAGGTACCGGGTGTTGGAGGTCCAGCTAGCGATGCAGACGGCGAGGCTTGAGGAGAGGAGGGCTCAGGATGCAGACAAAGGGGAAAGCCACCCAGCTCGCCAGAAAGGTACCAGGATTGGTGCAGAAGTTTGGGGGGGAGCCCAAAGACTATCATGGCTTTCGGACAGAGATGCAATATGCCCTCAATCTGCAGTTTGATGAATTCCCTGACGAGGAATCACGAGTGGCTTTCGTGATTGAGCATCTTGAAAAAGGGGCGAGAGACTGGGTTAGACCCCTGATGGCAGCGAATAGTGACGTCCTAAAGGACACGATGAAGTTCTTTCGCGCCATGGATCTGATGTTTTCCAGCGATATTGAACAGGGAGTGGTGCGCAGACAGTTAATGGCTTGCAAACAGGGGAGCCGATCTGTCCGTGAGTATTGGACTGAGTTCACCATGCTGGTTCACAGATTGGGGTGGGACTTATCGGCGGAACCCATTCAAATGCTCTTTGAAGAAGGGCTTTCTTCGGCTGTGAAAGACGAACTTTCCCGGGCGCCCAGGGCGGAGTCTATGGACCAGCTGACCAAATCAGCGCTGACCATAGGAGCGCGCCAGGAGGCGAGAGCATTGGAGAGGCGGGAAGGGAAAGGGGAACGTTGGAAGGAGTTCCGCATTCCAGACATTCCAGAGCCAACTTTCCCGCCGGCAGAGCCGATGGAAATCGGAACAGCGCGCGCGCGCGCAGTTTCAAAGCCCAGTGAGGGGGAAAGAAGGAGGGAAAAGGCGCCCGGAAATGCTATCTCTGCCAACAGCCAGGTCACTTTGCCAGAGTCTGCCCCCAGAGGAAGGAATGGCAAGGGATGGTAGGAGCTGTGGAGGGAAGAGAGGAAGAAATACCGGAGCAAGTAAAAGCCAACGCCTGGCTGCCACTGTCGGGGCACAGCAGCCAGGCCAAAGAGCAGTGAGAGTGCCCACGCCAGAACCTCCTAAACCCGCCCTAGTGATAGAAGTGACGCTAGAGCTGCCAAACGGACACCCTCTAAAGATAAAGGCGCTGTTGGACTCAGGCAGCTCCTGCAATTTCATGAGCAAAGAGTTTGCAGCTGAACACCAGATACAGACGATCCCTTAAGCAACCCCCTGCAGGTGACCACGATCGATGGCAGGGAGCTGTTGGGAGGAGAAGTCAGCTTGCAGACCGTCCCAATGATAATGAAGGTAGCCAGGCACACCGAACTGATAGCGTTTAATGTGGCCACCTTGGGAGGAGCTCCCATTATATTGGGGATGAGCTGGCTAGCGTTACATGATCCGCTGGTGGGCTGGCATCAGAGAGTGGTTTCTTTTGGTTCAGCACATTGCTTAGAACACTGCAAAGAGGGAAAGGGTTTGGCAGGGGCCCAAGCCACCCTAGCAGGGACTGAAGTAACGGAGAACGTGAAGGTACCACGACAATATGCAGATCTCCGTGACGTCTTCAGCGAAAGGGAAGCTGACCAACTACCCCCGCATAGACCCTTTGACTGTCAAATCAATTTACTCCCTGGGGCACAGCTCCCTGTAGGCAAGCTGTACGCCATGTCAGACAGAGAGATGCAGGAGCTAAGAGAGTTCATTGACAAGAACCTGAAGAGAGGGTTCATCAGAGAGTCCAGGGCAGTGGGGGGCAGCCCAGTGTTTTTTGTGGGGAAAAAACACACGAACAAGCCGAGGCTGGTGTGTGACTTCAGGGCCTTAAATGCAGTGTCAGAACCAGTGGCCTTCCCTATGCCCAGGATTGACGACATTTTGACAAGGGTGCGGAAGGGAAAGATTTTCACAAAGCTGGACCTAAGGGGGGCGTACAACCTGATACGAATAAGGAAGGGTGATGAATGGAAAACCACCATGTTCACCCCTTTAGGGGCATTTGAATATTTGGTTATGCCCTTCGGCCTCCAAGCAGGCTCTGCATGCTTTCAATCGTTTATGAACCACGTCCTGGGGCCTTTGCTTTACAAGAATTGTGTGGCCTTCTTAGACGACGTGTTGGTGTATTCTGAGAATGAGGAGCAGCATGTGAGAGACGTCAGAGAAGTGTTGAGCAGGCTGCAAGCCAACCAGCTGTGGGTGAAACTGGAGAAGTGTCAGTTTCATACCAAGGAGGTGGAATTCCTGGGGTATCGCCTGTCAGACAAGGGATTGGCCATGGATCCCGGCAAGGTCCAGGCGGTGCTGGAATGGAAAACACCCAAAACAAGGAAGGATGTTCAGAGGTTCCTAGGATTTGGGAACTTCTATCGTAAGTTCATCCGAAACTTTGCCCACCTGACGGCGCCCATTACGAACTGTCTCAGCAGTAAGAAGAAGTTCGTTTGGACTGAGGAGGCGGAGCGAGCATTTGAGGAACTAAAAAGGGCCTTCGCCTCGGAACAACAACTCCTGCATGTGGATTTACAAAAACCGATGAGAGTGGAAACTGACGCATCAGACAGAGCGATTGGGGCGGTGCTTCTGCAGCCAGGGAAGGAGGAGTCAGAGTGGAGACCGTGTGCCTTTTTTCGCGAAAGCTGAACAAATCCGAGAGGAACTACACGGTGTATGACCGAGAACTACTAGCCATTCATGAGGCGTTCCGGAGATGGAGGCACCTGCTAATTGGCGCACAACATAAGGTGCAAGTGTGCACTGACCACAAGAACCTAGAGTATTGGAGGACGGCACGAGTGCTCAACCAACGGCAAGTGAGATGGGCCCAGGAGTTCTCCAAATTTAACTTTGAGATTTGTTACGTGCCAGGCCCAGAGAACATTAGGGCGGACGCTCTCTCACGCAAACCTGAATATTTGGAGGGGGAGGGAGCACCCGAAGAGAGACATGTCATTCCAGAGGACCGCTGGGTGTGTGGGGCGGCATTGGTGGGACAAAGAGAACTGGTAGAGGAAACAGAGAATGATGAATACGCCCAGAATAAGCTCAGAGGTCTTAGGGGTGAGGGAGAGGAACCAGGGGGTTTCGAGGAAAGAAATGGAGCTTTGTATTACAAAGGGGCACTGTATATCCCTGAAGGAGACTTAAGGGGAGGGTACTCAAGCAGTTGCACGACAGCCCTACGGCGGGGCATTTTGGACAACACAAAACCATGTGGTTGGTCACCAGGGAATTTTGGTGGCCCAAGGTGAGGGAAGATGTACGTGAGTATGTAAGAGGGTGCGAGCAATGCCAGCGAGCCAAAGGGGAAAGGCGGGCGCCGGCGGGGCTATTAGAACCCTTACCAACCCCAGAACGACCTTGGGAGGCAGTGTCGATAGATTTTATGACTGATCTGCCGAAGTCCAAAGGGAAAACAGCCATCATGGTGGTGGTGGACCTACTAACAAAGATGTGCCACTTTGTAGCTTGCTCGCATGCAGTCACGGCAGAAGAGACAGCGAAGTTATTTGTAGAACACATTTTTAGGTTGCACGGGGTGCCATTGAGGGTGGTCTCAGACCGAGGAAAACAATTTACTTCCAGGTTCTGGAGGAAGCTCATGAGCTTACTGCAGGTGGAGGTCAATTTTTCGACTGCCCGGCACCCTGAAACCAACGGGCAGGCGGAAAGAGCAAACGGTGTCCTCCAGCAATACCTGAGGTGTTATGTCAATGACAGAGAGAATGACTGGGTAGAAAAGTTGGCGCTGGCGGAATTTGCCTACAACAATGCCGAGAATGTGTCCACAGGGATGAGCCCCTTCTTGGCTAATTATGGGTGTCATCCCAGGGCTTTCCCAGGCGGAGATGGGGAGAGATGGAGCGTCCCGGCAGCCGAGCATTTTGTAGAAGAAATGGAAGCAATCCATTGTCAGCTCCAACTCAACTTAGAAAGGGCGAAGGAAGAATACAAGAGGCAAGCAGACAAGAACCGAAGGGAAGGTGAAACCATAAGGGTGGGAGATAGGGTGTGGCTGTCAACCCAAGGGCTGCTGCTCAAAGGAGGTTGTAAGAAATTAAGACCCAGGAGGTTGGGTCCCTTTGAGGTCATTCAACAGGTCAACCCAGTGGCTTTCAGGCTCCGGTTACCCAACCACATGAAACTGCACCCAGTATTTCACAGGTCGTTACTGTCACCGTACGAAGGGGGACGAGAAGGGATGGCCACTGGGACCGGTCATAGAAGAAAGAGAATGCAGCAGCCATGTGGCAGAAATCCTCGACGCCAGGTGGAAGGGGAATCAGGTGGAGTATTTGGTAGCGTGGGAAGGAGAACCGGAGTCAGAAAACACTTGGGTAATGGCCGAAGATATCAATGACGAGGTATTGATAGAAACGTTCCATCAAAGGTTCCCAAGGAAACCTCAGCCTGTGGAGAGGTTCCGGAGGGAATACTTTGGGACCACTGATGAGGAGGAGGAGTTGGAAGGCTTCCCGAACTCGGAAGGGGAAGGGGAGATGGACTCTGAGGAGGAGGAGTACTTCGAGACCAGGAACCGCAACAGGTGGAGAGAAGTGTTCGAGACATCGGAAGATGAAGGAAGTTCATCCGGGGTTTTGCCTCCTCACCGCCCGTAGAGGAGGGTGCGAGAGGGGGTGAAGGGGGCCCTGGAGGGGAGGTGGATGTCAGGGAACTGCCATCGGAAGGAAGGGAGGTGAAAGGGCTCACACAGGTTGGGAGAGACTCAGCAGCTGAAGAGGGAACCAGTAGGGGGAGAGGAGCTGAGCTGAGGGAAAGTGAGCTGGAGGGATGGCTCAGAGACACTTCCAGCGAAAACAGTCGGGAGGTTTCAGGACCTCCTGTAGGGACACCCACTCCTCGCCGGAAACTGACACGCAGAGAGTCCAGAAGACGTGTTTCCGTTAAGGAGCTTTTATGTTGGAAGCGATTCCGAAAGCAACCACTGTCGGAATCTGCTAGTGACTAGAGGAGCCATGTCTGAGGGGCTCACACA